TTACTACGTTGAGCGAAAGGTAGAGGAGCGCAACCTCGTCCGTCGAGNTTTCGTGATTGCCACCAAAGTGATTACTTTGGTTTTAGTTTCACGATACTGACTTGCCAAAAGTACTATACCTGTAATCACGGGTCAAACCAAACGTTTGGAATTTCAAAATCTTGTTGATCTACACAAGCCAGCAATTGTTAATGTTAATGAGACCCATGTAGGTGATTCTCTCTACTCATCTGAAATCTTGGAGAGCGGATATACAATCTTCCGAAAAGATAGAGACACTTATCGGGGTGGAGTATTATCTGCTTTTTCAAGTGATTTAATTGTCTCTCATGAAAACCATCTGGCTGATGACTACGAAGGTGTTTGGTCTAAAGTAGAAATTGCTGGCTCCATCTACAGGCCACCGAATTCCCTGGATCAAACATCATGTCAGCTCTCCCAGAAATCGCCTTCAAATATACTACTCGCTGGTGATTTTAATTTACCAAGTATATCCTGGGATGATATGAAGTCAACTACTCCACTCATCCCAACCCTGCATATGGCAGAGAGGTTAACAACAAATTGCTGGACATTGTCAACAACCATTTCTTGACCCAACATGTGAAGCAACCAACTAGAGGTCACAATATCTTAGACTTAGTCTTTACAACTAACCCCAACGTGGTTACCGACCTCAAAATCCAGAGTGGTATGAGTGATCACGATGCCATCATCTTTGATATTAACTTGAAACCATCAACTAACAGAAAGCAACCAAGGAAAGTGTTCATATTTAAGAAAGGTAATATGGAAGCAGTCAGAAATGACTTAAAACAACGCTTTGACAAATACATAGAAACTGAAGCGCTTTTCAATTCAGTGGATGGAAATTATCATTATTTCAAATCAACAATCAATGAAGTCATGAAGAAATACATTCATCAAAAGAATATCAATGGACGATGGAATGTACCTTGGTTAACTAATTCTATCAAACGAATGACCAGAAAGAAACAAAGGCTATACAATAAAGCAAGAAGAACCGATAATCCTAGTGACTGGAAAAAGTTTAAAGAGATGAGAAAGTGTGTAAAGAAACAATTGATCACTGCACACAATGAATATGTCTCAGACCTGTTAACAGCTCTGGAGAAACCAAGATCCAATAAGGAAGTACCATCAAAACGTTTCTGGTCTTATACTAAATCTAAGAAATGTCATGATGTTGGAATTCCTCCACTGAAAGATAATGGTGCTGATATAGATGACAACTATGGAAAAGCTAACCTATTAAGCAATCAATTCAAGTCAGTATTTACGAAAGAAAATCTTGATAACCGTGACATTCCAACTCTTGGCCCAAGTCCTTATCCTGATGTTCCATCTATTGTGTTTACCATACCAAGTATTCTCAAGTTATTGAACAATGTCAATCCCAAGAAAGCAAATGGCCCTGATCTGATCCCATGCCGTATTCTCAAAGAAGCAGCCATGGAAATTGCTCCATTCTTAAAATTGCTCTTTACTCAATCAGTGGAATCTGGAACAGTGCCAAAAGACTGGTTGAAGGCCAATATAACACCTGTCTTTAAAAAAGGCAGTAAACACCTTGCCAGTAATTACCGTCCTATCTCATTAACTGCTGTACCCTGCAAGATCCTGGAAAATATTATTTTTCATGATATAATGACCCAACTGGACTCAAACAATATCCTAGTCAACTCTCAACATGGCTTCCACCGGAAGTTTTCTTGTGAAACCCAGCTCGTAACTGCAATTGAGGAAATTGCCACTTGAGGCCCTTGACAGTGGTAAGCAGACAGATCTCATAATTATGGATTTCTCTAAAGCATTTGATGTTGTTCCTCACCAACGTCTTATTCGTAAACTGGATTAATATGACATACATGGTGATCTTAAACATTTGCTAGCAAACTGGCTTACATGCAGGGAACAGTCCGTTATAGTTGATGGTGTCTGATCCCACTCAGTTCACGTATCTTCTGGTGTTCCTCAAGGAACGGTCTTAGGACCATTGATGTTCGTTTTATACATAAATGATATTGGTGATCACTGCTCCTCTGCTTTACGCCTATTTGCAGATGATACAATCTTATACAGTGTTATAGAGTTGACCAATGATGCTGAACATCTCCAATCTGATCTATCCACTATTGAATATTGGTCACAGAAATGGCTGATGTAATTTAACCCAAGTAAATGCTTTGTCATGAGGATAACCAGAAAACGTGATCCTGTTATTTATGATTATAAATTAATGGGGCACTCCCTTGAATCAGTGTCACAGCATCCATATCTTGGGTTGAGCTATCCTCTAAACTAGACTGGGGCCATCATATTGACAGTAAGGTTACCAAAGCAAACCAAACTCTTGGATTTCTGCAAAGAAATCTTGGCAACTGCC